CAACATATGTTCACTCATTTTAGCTTAGTGTTAGTAGAACAAATTAAGAAACATTGTACTCCTTTGTTCTGTTCTTTCTCTTCTTCATCTATACTGACTTATGAACTGTAACTTTTGTTACATTAATTTATCGTTTGACCCTTATTAAAAAAAAAAAAAAGCAAATTGCTTCTTGAGCATGAAAAGAATTTGTCTCTTTTCTCTTGATACTTTACCTCCTTAATGCTATGGTTCGATCAGATTTTGTGTGTATTTTTTGTTGAGATTTTGTGTGTATTTTATGGTTGTTAAATTTGAACAGCAATTTGGCTTTAGTGAAGTGCTTTAAAAAAAATACTAAAATAAATAGAAATAAAAATAAAGAAGTGGTAAATTTAATTAGTGAGGATGCATGGTCACGCTCCTCAAGATGTGAGTTTGAATTATACTATCTCCATGGCTTTACTCTATTTTATGAGATGTTTTTTAAGTGATTTAATATCTCATAATATAATATATTTTGAAAAAATAATGATTCATTAAAGAAGTTCATTTTAAAATTATTTTTATTATTTTACTTCTTAAATATATATCTCTATAGTCTATTTCCGTATTAAATGAAGGAATTTTACAGATTCATATTTAAAAAAAAAATTGAAATGTTAAATTGTACAATGTAATTTACTATTGGTTTGAAATCTTACTAAAACATTGTCTTATATAAAATGAGTCAAGAAAAGTGATAATTGTTGATGTAAAGACTTCGTTAATAAATATTTGTAAATAGTTAAAGAGGCATTTTCTTGTCTCTTTGTACATTGTAAAACTTATGTTAGATTTTATGAATTCTTGAAATTAAATTCACCTGGAAAAAAGCTAGCTAGTGTTTCAAGTTTGTATTCTCTAACTATCTCATTTGATGACATAATTTTATCAGGAATTGTAAACTGACAAGAACATTTTCGCCTTGATCTAGTACCATGTTTTAGAAAACAACGTTAAACAAATTCAAGAAAGCTAGAAGTAGGAATACATTGTTTTTTGTCTTTTATTGCTGACATGCATTTTCATATTAGAGGGAATCATGTTCCAAATTTAGTCAGACACTAAATATAAATACTTTTTTTAATAGTGATTCAAACTTTTGATTTGCTACTCCCTCCATTTTTTATTGTTAAAGAAATTATCACTTTTAATTTATATTTTTTTATTAGTAAAATCACTCATTCCAATAAATATTTGTTGTATATTTTTTAAATTATTTCTCATAATTTATATTAATGAAAAAAATTAATGAATGCTTATATTGATTAATATAGGGTATTTTAGTAAACTTTTTTTTATTTTCAGGCATAATTATTATAATTAACTAATTTTTTTAAAATGTGTGATATATGTTTTTCTCTTACTTCCTCCATTTCTATATATATAAAAAAATTATACCACACAAAAAAAAGTTGGTTAACCATAATAATTATATTTAAAAATAAAAAAATTAGACTGAAATACTTTATATTAATTAATATAAGCTTGTATTAATTATTTTTTATTAATGTAAATTATGAAAGGTAATTTAAAAAATATATAATAAATACTTATTAAAATATATGATTTTGTTTGTATAAAAAAAATAAATAAAAAATGATAATTTTTTATAAATAAAAATAAAAGGAGTATATATAGAAATGGAGGGAGAACATTGTAAGGGATTAATCCTTTTTTTTTAAACTAAACCTAACCTGTTGGTAGCATACATGGTTATTAGGTGTCATCATCAATCAATCAAATGCTCCAAAAGAAAGCGCCATGATTGAGCTTAGGAATGTGCATTGAGCAATGAGAATCTCATCGATCAAGGGATGCTGGTAGGATTCCACCAGCATCGTTGAGTTGAATCAATAATACGCTGTGGATCCTAAATAAAGATGCTAGATGATTAATTCATATAAATTAAAAAAAAATTAGTTATTTGTAAACTTATGTACTAGTTTCCTTAAAATATCATTTCTTTTAAATCATTAAAAATTACACCCAGCAGCATTGATTTATGCAGGGATAATTTGAGAAAAAAATATTGAATGTAAAAAATAAAGGATATTGAAGTCTTATAATTATGACTAAAAGAACTCATGTGTCACTATAAAAATTGTCAACTCAATAGAAAGGTTTGCCAGAGACATTGACACAAGATATAGAGAGAAAACCAAATTATAGTTCTACCTTTAATCTTGCTACATACCTTAATCTGGCAATCTATATGACCATAGAAAAACGGCTAGAATGCATTGTTATAAAATCACCGCTTAACTCACTGCTTCATTTATTTTTAGTCAAACATGGATTTTCAAACATAGATAAGAACCGACGACTATAATATGAACCCTGATTAAATGAAATGAAAAGATACATTTTTAATCAAATCTCATATTAATAAAGTAATTAATTGTCTTCCATTCACATTTTACATAATTGCACTAAATCAAGGTAAGTTTGTATAAAATTAGTGAACTCTTGTAAATTTAACACTTTTTTTTCCTTTTTTTGCAAGATTAGATGCTCTGAAATGTAAAGAATAATGTTGGAGGCCCGAATATTAGAATAACTCCTTGAAAAAACTCTTTGCTCACATATGTTAGAATATTTGAAAAGATTGCTGCTCTTATATATATTCTAAAAAACATATTTCTGACAAAGACATCTTCTTCTTCAACACCCAAAACATTATCAATGACCATTATCTTCAAGCTCAATTGAACAATGTGCATTCGGACCATGACAGATCTTTTGCTAAATGGATTTCACCCAAACCTTGTTGGCTGAAGTTGGATGTTGATGGTTCTGTCTACACCAATGAAATTGCAACTTATGATGGCCTTATTTGGGATGACCAAAGCAACTAGATAAAAGATTTTACCAAATAACATAGCTATCTTCTTAGTATTGCCGCAGCTCTTGACCATCTTTAAAGGTCTTTCTCTTTGTTAGAGGTACAAATATACTCACATCAATGTTCACTCTGACTCTCTTGAAACTTTGTTGCTTATTCAGCATTACCACAACATGGATCATCGCTTCAATGAAACTATAACAAAAATTAGAGACCTCATTATGAATGAATGAACTATCAACTTCAACCATGTGTTTGGATAAGCCAACAAGTGTGCGGATTGATTTGATCATCAAATATCGAATGACAATAATGATATCTTGATTTTTGATGACCCTTCACTAGAATATCACACTCTTATACGACTTGACTTGACTTAGTTTTGCACAAGTTTCTGTGGCCTTATATTAAAAAAAATAATTAATTATCTTTAAGCTAACACTACCTTTTTAAATTTATTTTTATTTAATAGGGTATTTCACTTAAAAATAAATAAAGTAATTTATTTATTATGAATATTTTTTTTTAAAAAAATACATTGGAATGCTAAAAATATCATATATTTTTTATCCCTAAAAAAATAAATTAGATTGGCGAGAGTAGAATTCAAGAACATGCAGTAGAGCATTGTACTGATTCAATTCCATCGGAGGGACGCTACGTAAACGTGGCCACTTCCCATGCGGGAGACGATTCTGGACCTGTAAACCCCACTTGTCCTCCTCAGTGGGGCGGTGTTTCTTCACCACTCCCTTATTTATTTATTATTATTCTTATTATTCTTAGTTCCCACTCTACTTGTCTTCATTATGTACTTATATTGTATAACTTTGTCATGCTTCTTCGCCCAACCACATACCCGCATAGTAGTACGCTGGCACTAATACTATTATTGTTTAATGCCGCCGATCCAAGCTACTTATTATGGCTTTATTATTCTTTTTATTTAATTACATCCTTAATTTTGTTCCGTCCAACCCCTCTTTTGGTATACGTAACCAGTGAATTGACTTGTCGAAAGCAGTAGTAAAAGTTCGTTGTCTCTTCATCTCCACTCCGAACTTGTTCCCTCAGTTCAATTCCCTCTTCTTCTCAACCTTTTACACACACACACACAGGTCCGGTCTTCAATTTTAGTCTTTTCATACTGAAATTTTTTTTCGATTCTAACATGCCCACACACTGCTAGTACTAGATTTGTCCTCATAGCTTTAATATTATTTCGTGTTTAATAAAATGACATATCTTGCGCACAATGTCATAACGGAAAAGAAAAATACACGTAATGTTTTGATTAAACAATGAGGTATGGCCTCCACCATTTAGAAATTAGAAGGAAGCTGAATCATGGCTTCATGTAGAGTGTAAGAAACGTGCCACAGAAAGTAATGACATTAAATTAGTGAAGCTTTACGAGTGATTGGTGGAAGGAGGATCTAAGAACGACTGGCATTGCGGGCAAATTCGACCAATCAAATCAATGCCTTTTGTGGGGAAAATGACAAGGTCTCGGAGTCCCAAACGCCAGGCCCTGCTCTAATCCAAATGCAGAATAGTGGGGGAGGAAGAAAGGCTTTTTATTTATTTATCTAGATTTCAAGAATAATTAAAATGATCTCAACCAGATCCACTCTCGCATGTCCCCTTTTCTACGGAAAATTAGAAACTCTCCTTGATTTTCATTCGTCAGTCATCATCATCTTCAAATTCAAAAGATGAGAATAAATAAATAATATATATATATATATATTGATGTTTATATTTTGAACTAGAAATAAAGTTAATAAACATCTTAAACCTTAAAATTCTGATACATGCAAAAACTCCAATCAATTTTTAAATTTTAACCGCTTAAAACCTTCACATTAAGTTAAAAAAAAATAATTATTATTTTTATAGTTATAAAATTTAATTGCTAATATAATACTCATCCTAACCCTTAAAAATAATGGTATATACTTAACGGTAGAATCTCAAACACTCGTAATTTAAAAGTTGATAAGTGTTTTTATACATTTCAAAAGTTTAAAATTCAAAATACTATTTACACGATACTTTAAGGTTTAAAATGCGAATTAACTCTTAAGAATATTAGATGCTGAACAGTGCTATCTCTAATGATATCTCAAACAAGTACTCTAAACCTCCAAAATCAATTAAATCTCCTATCCAAACATGCAGCCAAGCATCCAAAATTTAAAAGTTGATGGATGTTTTTGCACATTATAAAAGTTTAAAATCCAAAATACTATTCATATAATAGTTTATGATCTAATCATTAATCTTTAGAAATATTAGGTGCTGAAAAGTGCTCTCTAAAAACTCAATTTAGTGTCTGCAAATCCAAATTGCTTCTGAACGGGACGGGGCCTTCCAATAGGAGATCTGTCATCATCGGTGGGTCACAAAGGTGCAGCCAGGTAGCATCGAGAGAATTGTCGCATGTTCATTCACCGGTCAACTAAAACACTTAAGGTAGCATCAAGGCATTATCACATCAAAGATGAACCCTTACCAAAGACAGTTAAAGTGATGGTAGCAGTAGAATTCAATGAACCTTTACCGCGGTGGAAGTGAAACGCGCCATGCGGTGAGTTCCTCCAAGCCACCGTCAACATGCACTTCCCAACACGCCAGACCAGATTGGGATTAGGTTTTAACCAATTCTTTTAGTGGGAGACAAAGATGCTGATCCAGCATATGATAGGTCTGAATCCATAGTTCTAAATTCAATACTCCATCTTTGTGGTCCAAATAATGCGGCAATGCTTCCGCACTTAGAAGAAAATTATCCATCAGAAGTTAAGAATCAAATGTTAGCCGGTAGAATATGTAGATTCCAAGTTATCTTCACAAAAAGGAGAACCAAAAAAAAAAAAAAACAGGTGAATAAAGTTTACCTCCTCGTGTGTTTTAGAGAATTTCCCTGTTAGGGTCACAGGGTCAGGTTCTCGCAAGTAGTCATAGAATAAACGAAATCAGTGCTATCAATGTGAAAAGAGCATCATGAAGGTTTTCGGCTGAACAGTTGGGATGAGCTATCATCCACATCAGTTTTAATGACAAGCAAGGGTTCAGGATAAAAACGACTTCAGTAGTGCATGATTAAATATTTTTGCCCAAACAAATCACTTAAAATAATGACGTTTTTTTCTTTCACTAGCTCAGCATCAATGTCAGCTTTCATTTAATATCAAATATCAAATAAAATTACCACGAAATAAAAACTAACTTATAATATGTTAGTGTTTCTGAAAGCAACTTGGGACAACCACAGCCTAAATGTTAGTTCCTAAGATTGGAGACTTCAAAGTCCCCGTAAAACCCCACATCAGAGTCCAATGCTTCAGATGTAAGACTACAATACTATAAACTGGAATGGGTCCCAACAGTTTCCAACTACTATGTATCGTCAACTGTGCAGTGCAACTCAATGTGTAAATATTCTCAGGGCTTTAGCCGCTGGTCCAAATCCAATCAACAGGTTATATTACTCAATATGCACATAATACCATAATTGAAGCAAAGCTTTAAGTTCTTGTATAATACAATCCAAACTCCTTCGAGATAACGCAAAAGGTGATGCAGGAGTTGCACAGAGAACCACCATTTGAAACAAAGCTTCAAGAATATTTCACACATGCCATAAAGTCAAGAGATCCTTACAGAAAGTCAGAGACACAGAACATAAATTACTTCAATAAATCATTTTAAAGGTGGAATTATTGTCCAGACCTGACCCCAGAGACAACTGGAATAATTGTGTACTTCCACCTGCCTCGGGCAGTTGGCAGAAACTCGATGAAATTAGCAGTTCTTTGAAGTATGAAACATATAACAGAATCACCAAGCCAAACTCATCAATTGAGTCTCTCCAAGAATAAGTTTCATTTAGCCAAAAGATGAGGCCAGCATGCTTATAGTTATCTATCTTCACTATTTTAACTAATACATCAATATCAAAACAAATCCAATTCAATCCAATCCCATCACATCGTCAGATACCCAAGTTATATTTGCATTGCCCTGCGGCGTCCAGACCAGCTCCTCTCAAGGACGTGGACGCCGTCATATCATTATTCATAAAGCAAACTACTGCCACCATATTCAACACTCAATGATCTATAATCGGAGAAGCCAGTATCTGAGTGATCTTTGCAAATCAGAATTGTAACTTTGCAAACTAATGTAAAATTTAAAATTTGTCTACAAGAGCAAATAAACAATAAACTTCAAAAAAAATTACAAAGGATACGTGTTTAAAATTGGAAAATTAAGGTAACCAAGATCACCGACCAAACGTGGCAGGATCAGATTGAAGGTTTTGATCAATGCAGGAAGCAGTGTGGCAGTACAGTGCTTGAAGTTAAGGCAAGCAAATAATTGTCGGGAGAATTCTAGGTTAGCATTCCATGCTAGAATGCAACCCACGCCTTTTGATCCAACCCATTCGCCAAGTGTAAACAAGGCATGATTTTGATATCGAAGAGGTTGCGAGAGTCACAGTGCCATGACTTCTGCAGTGACAGGGGCCCTCTTCTTCGCTTCGATTTCGCCTAAACCTCCAGCACTGCCACCACCCACCACCAATATAATCTCCCTGCTCAGACCTTTTACAATACCATCATTTCCATGCCAAATTAACACATGCGATGAAGAAAAGGAGAGAAAAACACGAATGAGAAGAATATGCTTTATTTGAATTGTAGATACCGTCGAGCCAATGAGGACATTGTACGGGCAATGGGCACGGAGATGAGGATAAGTAAGAATAGATGATGCAACGCAGAAAAGAGGGAATGATTGAGAGAGAGATGGCACGAAAGGAGCGAAGGAGACCGCCATGATGCCCAGTCGCGCCGCCTCATGGCTAAGATCAGACGAAGACCGAAGGGTTTAGAAGAAGGAACAACAAAAATGACTAGGGATAAATATAGTAAATCGTAAGGTGTAGGCCCAAGCAAGCCCAACAGTTAGTTGGGCCAACAAAGTCCATTCATAGACACCTTTTTTTTTGTAATCCCATTCATGGACAATCTATATGCAAATGTCATCTGTTGTGATATTACATTTTGAGGAGAAAAAAATACATTACATATTCACCAAAAAATTACGTTACAAATTTGTAAAATTTTCCTTCTATCCCTTAGAATCGAAATGATCTTTCTATATGTATTTGGATTAAATATAAAACGTCACTTCAATAGGTTATGAAGCTAAATTGGGCTGAGTAATGAAACGTTGAAACGTCAAGCCCAATATAGGCAAAAGAGACCGGCCCCGAAGCTCAATAAAGTCCATGATAAATAAACATGCCAAAATTCCATCAATTTTAAATATTAAACCATTGGCACGAAGACACGATCCTAAGTAATACCGAAATATACGCCCAAGCAGTTCGGTGAAGTGGGCTGTTTATCAAAATGAAGAGACCGTGCCATAAATTTTGCGGGATTCCTGATTCTTTGTTAAAATGTGTTAAGTCTCAAAGGAAAGGCTTCTGCTATCAGACACTATAAATAAAAAGAAAAAAAAAAAAAAAAAAAATTCAATCAACACTCAATCAAGACTCGCATAATTTACATTTATTAGTACTTTTCAGTTCTTAAGTTTTAGTCTGTAATTTTCAAACATTTCGATAAAATTACACACTTATTTATCAAAGTCTACTATCTTTTTACATCTGAGCAAACTGTGGTAGGGAAACTCAGGACTCCTTTCATTATCTGTTGAGATCCAACGTCTCTAACACGCCTGGTATTTGTTATTCAATGATGAACAATATGCAAGTGTTTTATAATTTTAAAAAATATTTCTTCATAATTGTATATCCTTGTTCAAATTGAATAGTGTACTTTTTTTGTTGAAATACATTTTTTAGTTTCTATAAAAAATTTCGTCTGGAAACTTATTTCTTTTTCAAGTATTTTTTGGAAGAGAATAATAATTAAATATATTTCAGACTAAAATAATTTTTATTTTCAATGTTAAATTTAAAGTAAATACTTTTTGACCTAGAAGTCCAAAGTTTTTATAAGAATTATAAATTAAATTTCATACATATAAAACAGTTCTGATGTCTTCCTTTTCATCCAAAAAAAAAAACGCTTCTGAGCATGGGATTGTCATGGAGGTCTGATACTTGTTGCAAAGGGATTGGATAGTGCGTCTGAATAAAGTGGTCAGGAGGACGAATATTGCTGCGGATTTCCTTGCGAGGCTTGGATGCCTGGGATTACGTTCCTTTCCGCTGCTCCTGATGGTCTCCATGCCATTTTGGTAAAGCTGAGTTACACGTTAAATGCACACCCGGTCTATGTGGGCGGATTCATAAGGTTTATGGGCTCAGTTTTTAAGCTTGGTGTCACAAAAATACTTCATTTCTTAAGACCCCGTCCTTGCTCAAAAGACTCCCACCAAGTTTGTAAGCTCATTTTTTCAAATAAATATTAAGAATTAATTTAGATATTCTAAAATTTAAAAATAATCAAACAAACCTAAATAAAAATCCAAATCCAAATTCTTAAAAAAATAAATAAATAAAAGAAGCTACGAGCGACCGTAAAATGGTAAAAATGACAGTAGGGTCTCTTCCCTGAGATCTCTCCCATAATGTTAACGAGCAACACCTAGTATGCATACCTTCAGGGAAATGCTAAGGTGGAGAAAATATTATATTCATATAATTACCAACTTCCCCAAGAGTTCCAGGGAAGGAATGGAAAACAATAAAACCTGAGCAAATTTCCTTGTCCAAATCTCATGCTTGCTTACATAAAAAACAATAAAACTCGAGCAACTTTCAAACTATAGTCAATAACATCAAACATGGTCTTCTTCCTTACACTAAAGAGCTCCTCGCACTTAAGCTTTAACCTTTTCCATGGCAAGAAAAAACACCAAGACTTGAAGCGAGACGATGAGAATTGCGAGCAACTGAATCCAAGAACAACTGAGAAGTCTACAAACTGTGTGGCCTGTTGGCGGTGCTGAGACCCACACAGTGAGCAGAGGAGAGGCCATCAGGTCGACCAAGAGGGAGATGAAATCATGAGGTGTGAGCAATCGAGTGATAAGGAGAGAATAGTTTTTTTTTTTTTTCCATTTAGTGCAATGGTGCATTTTGAAAGAGAAGTTAAAAAAAATAAGGAAAAAACCACTTTTAATCACTGTAGTTTCTATCACGTTCTGCTTTTAGTCTCTATAGTTTGTTTTTTGTTTTTCTTAGTTCCCGTAGTTTTTGCCATCCAAACGTTAGTCCCTCTGGTCTTAATGGTATTAAGTTTGTTGAGGTGTAATTAACATTGTTAAATTAACTAGTTGGCATGATGAGTCATCATATGAGTTGGACAAAAAAAATCAAAACCAAGCCTAAAAACTAGAAGATTGTTTTAAACACTGATCATTTGCATTTTCTCAAACGACAAAGCATCAGCCTTTTTTGAAGCGCTAAGGCACTGGACCTCAACACTGCACGTGCTAGGTCAAACACCTAAGAACCAATCAGATGGTGATGAAGGCTCGTCGAAATAGTGAATCTGAGACGTGGTTGCTAACAACTCTCTCTGACAGCAACGATTCCATAGTTATGTCGTTCTAAATCTATCGAACAAATGTTACAAAAAATTCATTATAAACATATGAAAATTGAAGCGTGTGACTTGATTGTTCATTTTTTATTTTTTTTGCATTTTTTTTATCTATTTTGGTTATGGTTTGCTGTGTGACTATGTCTATGGCTTGCTTTACTTGTATTTGGTTAACCATCATGCCCTTCTCAAATTGTGTGGCTGGCTTGCTTTTTTTTTTTTTAATTTGTTGCTGTGTATGGCGTGCTATTGAGTCTTATAGTTACGATCGTGCATCTTGAATCTTTGAAGTAGCCATTCTTGTGCGTGCAATTTATCTTCTGTGTTGGGAAATTTTGGAAATAAAAAACTTGATAATTAACATGTTCAATCCAACTCATTTGATGATTCATCATGCCAATTGGGCAAATTTAACGGCGTTAATTACACCTCAGCAAATTTGACACTGATAGATGCAAGAAAGACTAACATTTTGGACAGCAAAAATTATAGAGATCAGGAACAACAAAAACAAACTATGAAAGTTAAAAATAAAATATGATGAAATTATAAGTACTAAAAGTCGTGTTTTTTTAAAAAATAATAATAATAACTGAGGTTTTTCAAGATCCTATCAGGATGGGCATCATATAAAATTGATTCAAATTGAAAGCCCTCCAAACCCGTTATAAATAGTCATGGCACAGGCTAGTAGGCAGCAGTGGTTTGTCTTGTGCATCAAAAAAGGAGGGAAAAAAAGGCGATGAATCTGGACTGCCCCTTCCACAGTCCACGCTCCCATACTTTTTTAGAAGAAATTAAATTTCTGACTTGTCAAAACCATTAAATTGGATTTTGGCCTCATCATTTTTAATTATTAGCTTCAATTTTCAATTTAACCCTCCCTAATTATTAGCTCTTGGATTCGTCACTAAAATATAATCAATTTTCAACAGAAATGTGATTTTAAAATTATTAAATTTATATCCGTTTTCATTGAAATTATATTTTGATATCAATATAAATTTCATTATTAAAATTATAAATTAGTATTTTGGTAATCATTTAATTAATATAGGCTAATTGTAATTGTTGCCACTTTAGATATCAATGTCTTATCACAAGTCAAAATTTGTTCAATCTCCCTTTATTTTAAATTATAAAACACTTTTATATAAAATTTTACATATTAATAAACCTCATCAAATATACTTATAGTATTATCTCTTCAAAATAACAATATAAATTTTTAAATATTTATTATTTAATATATTAAAAAGAGAAGGAATAAAAATTAATTATAAAAAAAATGATAATATTAAAATAAGTATATTTAATGAAACTTTAATCTTCTTAAAATATTCTTATATCTTGGAATGGCAAATCTTTTTTAAAAGTGTTTATAATTTAAGATAGAAAGATTATAAAATTTTTAGAAGCTAATAATTCACATCCACAACTAAACTTGAATTTTATGCCTTTGATGACAGATAAGTTTAATTTAAATATATGATTTTAAATTAACAATACCAATAATCAGATTAAGTTAAAAAATTGACACCCCTAAATTAGTCTAAGGATTTAAAATTAAATTTTGAAAACCTGAAAGATGAGAGTCGCACGTGCACAAAAGCAGAGACAAAGGAATGGAACCGCCAAAATATTTGCCAATTCGCGCTTCCTGAAAAAACATCAAAATTATTTATTTATTTATATTTATTATTATTATATTTGTCGTCTCCCTCCAACACTCTCGCTACATGGCATTCCCTAATCCCCGGAGCCAAAAAAGCCAGTTACGGACCCTCTGACGTGCCTTCTCCTTTCTTTTTCTTATTTTTATTCCTGAATTCCTCAATAATAAAACTAAAGTCTAACATCAATCACAACTAATATTAATGAATTATTTATCACGAATAGCGCTTTCATATTTGGGCTTGAAAGGCTGAAAGCGGATTGGATGAATTTTAAAATAATATGCTACTGTTAAACATTAAACACTAAAATTATATTTATATTTACTATTATACCATATTATTGTATATGTGACCCATATCTTCGGGGCCGTTTGTTTGATTTTGGACGAACTCTTTCTCTGTTGGATACACAGGGCTAGTGCTTGCGTTCTGCGAATTCTCAGTGATTTTTTCTCGAGAAAATTTCTGTATTTTCTTTTTCGAGGGTTTCGGTCTGCTTTTCTTTGATAATTTATCCGAAGGCCGAAGTCTGCATTCGGAACTTTTTTCCTTTGCATGCTTTAGAAGGGAGAGTTTGCGACATTTTCCCCTCTTCTTTGGGGTCGTTGATTCATTGTTCGATTGGGTGGGTTTTGGCATCGAGGTTTCGCTAATCTTTATTGCTGTAGTGGGGGGGAAAATAGGAGGAGATTCGATTATCGCGGTATAATTGTGGAGGATAAATTGCCGGTTTTTTCAGGTTAGATATACTGAATTGTTGGAATCTTGGATTTGATGCTTCGATGTGAAATTAGGGTTTTGGCCCAAGAATTGCAAAGGCGAATTCGCCGTTGCGGATGGTCCTAAGATGATAATTAAGCGGACTATGAAAATTGAAATGCCGAACCTGAAACGGTGTAAGCTAGAGGAGCAGGATGCCGAGGACTATGGATGTGCATCGGTTCCGAAGAAGCGGAAAGTTAATGGATTTTATTCTCTTGGTATGCCTGGCGAGGCTGAAGATTTCAGCAGCGGTTCGGGGTCGTGGTGCAGCGAAGGATCGTGTTGGCTAGTGAGGTTCTATCGAATTCAAATTCTGCGCTATTGAATGGTAAGACAGCAATGGAGCAAGGCTCTGAAAGGATTCGGCCTCCACTATTGCGATCGTCTCGTGGTCGATCTCAAATGCTTCCATCGAGGTTCAATGATTCTGTCCTCGGAACATGGAAGAATCGGGGAATCAAGTGGAGGGACGCAGACTCCAGCTTTGAAGATGATACTATTTTAGTTAAGATAAGGCGGGGTTTAGTGGATTGGGATTTGTAAAACAGGGAAATGGAAATAACTATAGCTCTAAAAGTCGAAGTATTATTCTTATCCCGACATGGAGGAGGAGGAATCAGGATTTGACGACTCGGGTTTAAACAGTTTTGACCACCGGAGGCTCCAAATTCTTTTAGTGCTACTAGAACGTCAATTAATGGAAATCGTTCATCAGCAGTTAAAACTGAGAGTTATACGTCTGGTCTAAGTTTTGAGGGTGTGGACCAAAGCTTGATCGAAATGCTGCAAAAAGGAAGGATATCTACAAACCGGAGGATTTTGCTTTGGGTGATATAGTTTGGGCAAAGTGTGGAAAGAGGTATCCAGCTTGGCCTGCTGTAGTGATTGATCCTATCCTGCAAGCTCCGAAGTCCGTTCTGAGTTGTTGTGTTCCTGGTGCAATTTGCGTGATGTTTTTTGGGTATTCAAAAAATGGAAAGCAAAGGGTACAGATCTCTTCATATATCTGGTCATAAAATTTAGTTATTATGGCACCTTTTTATTTTCATATCTGGACGAATGTTTTGGGCAGGACTATGCATGGGTGAAGCAGGGAATGATATTCCCTTTCATGGAGTTCATGGACAGGTTTGTTGCAAGGTCTGCAGTTGTTTCTGCAAGAATATTGAGAATTTAAGTATTGATATTTATATTTATTCAGATTCCAGGGGCAGACTCGGCTGACAAGAGCAAACCAAGTGACTTTCAGATGGTGGAAGATTTTAGATGTACTTGGCTGTGCATTAGATAGGCTGCTGCAAACATTGTTATTTTCAGAGGAAGGATGACCTATAACTTATAATATACTCTCAGGAGTCTGTAACTTGCTTCTGTTTTAAAGTAGAGATCTGTGTTTCAACATCCCACAAGGTACTATTTAGAAGAAACTTGAATAATTTGTGATCATTAAATTAAACTAATAATCAACGGTCCACATTCCATGACAAGATGCATGCGCATTGTATGAATGGGTAATTGATCTTAATTTTGTACCACCCAAAAGTCAATTTGAAAATATTTATCTTATATATTCTGGAAGCTGTAGATTTTCATTTTGGGAATAAATATCATGCAGGAAATGAGACCTTGTGCTGGCTGTGGTCTGACTTTGCCCTGCAAAACTATGAAGAAGATTAAGGATTCATATTCTTCAGCTCATCTATATTGCAAACTTTGTGCCAAGGTTTTGCAAAATACCTCATTCCAGATGGTTTCAATTTTTTGTTAATATATTTTTAGCAGACAAATGTAAGTTCTAGAATTATTGATATGCTTTTTCCAGTTACGGAAATCAAAACAATACTGTGGCATTTGCAAAAAGATTTGGCACCATTCAGATGGTGGGAATTGGGTAAGATTGTTTGCTTTCTCAATTATACTTCTTCATTTTTTATATATTCTCTTGTAGTTTTATTTGACTAATTAATATATGGATATATTATGTGGCTTTTCTTATTGAATCAGGTGTGTTGTGACGGTTGTAATGTTTGGATTCACGCTGAATGTGCTAAATATCCAGTAAACTTTTTAAGGTATGTTAACGATGTCAATATTATGCTACATATTTTCTCTGGCATGTTTATTTTCCCAAGTTCACAAAGTGGTGGCAGAGCGAAGACCTCTGATGAGTTTCTGATTGCAGGATCTGGAACATACAGATTACTATTGTCCAGATTGCAAAGCAAATTTCAACTGTAAATTTTCAGCATCACAAATATGCAAGCCAAAAATCAAGTATGCGACAGCTATTTTCTGCTTACCTTAACATGCATTGGGAAATTCATGTTGATTTATTTTAGTACTTTTGAAGTTGCTTCTATCTTAAATCTTATGATTTGATATTGTTTTGAGACAGATCAACAGAAAATAGCCAAAAGCCTGTTGTACCTGACAAGGTAACGGTGGTGTGCAATGGCATGGAAGGGTATTACATTCCAAAGCTTCATCTGTAAGATTCCTGCTCTTAAGTATATTTCTAGAGATGCTCTATTTGCTCTTGAGATATCCTAATGAACTTTCTTTGCATGTTGTTCAACACATACACGCACATGTGTAATTCTTCTTAATGCATATACATGTAGTCTTGTTTATTATGATGTAACAGGTTCATTGGAAGATCTCAAATATCACATTGAAAAGCATATTCATATCTATTTACATGTTCATTTTTATAAATATTATCTGTATAGGTGTTCTGTATAAGCTGATCAACCTCAGTCATTAGCGGTCAATGCTAATAAAAGGATTCTATGCAGTTCCTAATGATCCCGTCAAAATGCTCATTATTTATTTCTGTTTCAGAGTCATGTGCAAGTGTGGCTCATGTGGGGTGCGAAAGCAGACACTGAGTGAATGGGAACGGCATACAGGTTGCAGGGCTAAAAAATGGAATATAGTGTGAGAGTAAAGAGTACAATGCTTCCTCTGGAAAAATGGGTTTGTATCATTTCTTTCTAAATTAGAACCATGGAAATATATGCTGGTGGTTTAGTGTGTGCATGTGTTAGTTTTGGTTTTACTGTCATGAGAGATGTGTAATTGGCAGTATTACTCAGCACCCTGCATTGCTTTTATTTCTTAAAAGTGTAGACTCCCCAAAGATGTTATCCACTCAGTTTGTATTGACATGAAATTCTTCAGATCGCAGAAAATAATACACAAGGTGGAGTTTCTATGCAGTTAGATCAACAGCAGGTACTTGCCTTTCTGCAAGGTAAATACTGTACTTCAAAAAAAAATTCTATTGATTTTTTTTTTATCATAAGAATAGAATTTTCTTCATGTGACTGGGTCTTTTTGGCATATTGCAAACACTCATTTTTTGAATATATTTTTAATTGTGGAATTCATTTTATTTTATTTATTGTCACAGAGAAGTATGAACCAGTATATCCAAAGTGGACTACAGAAAGATGTGCGGTTTGTAGATGGGTTGAAGATTGGGATGATAATAAAATTATCATCTGCAACAGGTGGATCTATAATTTCTATTTATTTTTCTTCCAAATTTGTATAAAAAATTGTGGTGCGTTAAAAATTGGAGTTTGATTTAACTTTCCATGTCTTTAGTTAGAAATGTTGTGCTGTGTGTTCACGTGTCCATTTTACAGGTGCCAAATAGCAGTCCACCAAGAATGCTATGGAGCAAAGAATGTTAAGGATTTTACTTCTTGGGTCTGTAGAGTTTGCGAAACCCCTGATGTTGAGAGAGAATGTTGCCTTTGTCCTGTTAAAGGTATTTTATTTATTTCTTTTTGTGATCTTGAATAGCGTGATCTTCTTGAATTCAGGCCAAAAATGTTATGATCAAGTTAAAACTCTAATATGTTTTCAAGTTATTTCTGATACTATCAAGTGGTGGATTTATTTAAATAGGAAAGAATAATGATGTACCTTCATGGTATTCCATAAAAATTTACTCGTTTTTGGTTGATCAAATCTCTCCTCTCTGGCACTCATTCTTGCCACTATTTTTTTTGGCTGTAAAATGGTCGAGGAGAATATTATGAGCTTGATGCAAAATAGTTTATGATTGTGTATTTATACTTAATCAGTAACATTGTAACCTAACCATTTGCATCTTTACAATTGCCAATTGTGTGTTGCAACTCTTATTTTTGTTTTGTAATAATGTTGTGCAGGTGGAGCTCTAAAGCCAACTGATGTTGAGATGCTGTGGGTTCATGTCACATGTGCTTGGTTCCGGCCTGAAGTTGGATTCTCAAACCATGAGATAATGGAACCTGCCTTTGGAATCCTTAAAATTCCTCCAAGTTCCTTTTTGAAGGTATGAAATTATTGCTTATTTTGCAGTGTTGTTATGTGATAGAGCTGGTGATTTCCAAAAGATTTTCCTGTCATTTCCTAAGGCTTACAGTAGACAATCTAGGCAGGGAGGTGATTTAGAGAAGACTAAGACCAGTGGTCAAGAGGTTTATTTGAAGGTTTATAACTGTAAGATTCAAATGATAAAAGAAAAGTCAGGTTAGGTGTAGCCTAGGTTATGGGTAGTGTCAGTAGGGGTAATGACTACTTTTGACTCTTTAAATATGTACTTCCATGATGAGGGATGAGGAGGGACTATTGGAGAATTGTGGTCAAGTGAGGAGAGCTCTGGCCTCTTGAATGCCTGATTAGGGGTGGAGAAGATCATCTTTTCTTTATCATTTTATCTTTCTACTTCAGTTTGTATTTGTGAGAGACCAGTGTTCGTGTTGCTGCTCAGAGGGTATAGTTCATGTTGTTTCATGCTCTGTAATTGCCATCTCAGTGTAGTTTCAGTCTTTATTTTGATTGTAATCCCACTCTATTGTTCAGCAATAGTAATTGTTAGTTACATTTACAGTGTATTTTCTGGTTTTGCTTATTTTTAAGCTTAATAGAGTAGAGGGTTGCATCATTATGTTACTTCTTGCTCCTTCTCAGCAGTCAGCTCTTGTTTTTCTCTTATTTGGGGAAATTCCCTGAGGTCGGGGAAGTTGTGATGTTACCCTTGTATTCTAAATTTTCTTGTTCGTGTCAACTGCAGACTTGTGTTATCTGTAAACAAAGCCATGGATCCTGTGCAAGTTGTTGCAAGTGTGCTACTTATTTTCATGTGATGTGTGCATCTAGGGCTGGATACAGCATGGAAGTAAGTTGAATGATTTCATTATATGTGAACAGAGCATTGACTCAACTTAATATTTTTTTCTGTATTTCATAACTATTTTATTCTAAGTCCTCCTATAGGGCTGTGGGTATTATTTATATTTGCATCCTTTAGCAAAAGGTTTTGTTGGACAATGTTAATTGAATTATATGAGGGTGCACCCATGCTGACGAAATATTTCAACATTGTTTATACTGACAGTTGCATTCTATGGAGAAGAATGGAGTTCAGATAACGAAGAAGTTAATATATTGTGCATGTCACAGGTTGAGCTGTTGTCACAGAATAATGATTAATGCCATGTGCCAGTATCTGAGTTCCTTGAGAAAATGTGGTGTTATATGTTGATTCCATTGCAGGCTTCCGAACCCAGATTCTGTGATGGTTATACATACTCCCTTGGGGTCTTCTCTCCCAGGACTTCCCTGCAAAATCATAAGGGATGCTTCAGGGGATCAAGGCTGGTATCATCAAAAAACATAGAACTTCTTGAATCTTCAGCCCCTGAGACTAATGAATTTGAACCACTGTCTGCTGCAAGATGTCGTGTTTATAGAAGATCTTCCAAGGTTTGATCTTAATTTTGCATCAATTTTTACTGTCTTGTGTTTTTTCTTTTCGTTTTCCCATATTCATAGCTGCTTATGCTGCTGTAGCATGCAATGTCTTTTCTTGTTAATGCTTAGCACAATTATTATAATATTGCCGTAAACTGATTGCTTGCATAATTGTAGTCAAATTTCTTTTACGTAGGGTCTCATTATATATTTTCTGTATTTTGCCAGAGCGCTGATGAGCCAATAATACATTTAGTGGGGGGACCAAGTCGTCATTTGTTAAGTTCTATAATTCAATTGAACAGCTATAAGGTAGTCTATGTTTCCATATTGTCAATGACTTCATGCTATATCTGTTGACCTTTCTCTTTTTAAATTTCTGGCTGTTGAATGTTCTTTATTGAAGCTAGTATTTTTATGTTGTCTTGTTTTGTGAAAGGACTCAGAAGATTCTAAAGTATTTACTTCGTTCAAGGAACGTCTTCACCATTTGCAGGCAAATGATTACACTATGCTACAGTTGAATTTTGCATCTGTATTTTTTCTTTTAATGTCAATATTTTTTTTGTGGCATCAGAGAACTGAAAATCATCGAGTTTGCTTTGGAAAATCGGGTATACATGGATGGGGCCTCTTTGCTCGAAGAGATTTCTGGCTGTTGAATTGTTCTTTATTGAAGCTAGTATTTTTATGTTGTCTTGTTTTGTGAAAGGACTCAGAAGATTCTAAAGTATTTACTTCGTTCAAGGAACGTCTTCACCATTTGCAGGCAAATGATTACACTATGCTACAGTTGAATTTTGCATCTGTATTTTTTCTTTTAATGTCAATATTACTTTTTTTGTGGCATCAGAGAACTGAAAATCATCGAGTTTGCTTTGGAAAATCGGGTATACATGGATGGGGCCTCTTTGCTCGAAGAGATATACAAGAAGGAGAGATGGTCTGCACTTCAATAGTTTAGGATGATTTCTGAATAAATGCAAGGTTTACTGTCACTGTCTATGAAGATGTGTTCATCAAGTTATTTTTTTTATTCAGGTTGCTGAGTACCGTGGTGAGCAGGTAAGACGAAGTGTTGCTGATATGAGGGAGGCTATGTATCGTTCAGAAGGCAAAGACTGTTATGTAAGTCTATTGTTATTGTTTTTATGCATATGGACTACCCTGTCACCTACTTGCAATGTTATAACAAACGCATAAGCCTATCATGAAGTCGTCATGAGTGCTATGATGTATATTGATAGTTATAGGCTTAAGCCTATCTTGTTAGAATGCTTCCTTTGGGCAGGTTTATAATTACTGGTTAGTATAGACTTGATTGTTGTTTTGACCATAATGTTTTAACAAGGTAAATCATGCAGCTGTTCAAGATCAGTGAAGAGGTGGTCATCGATGCTACACATAGGGGAAATATAGCCCGGCTGATAAACCACTCTGTAAGTTATTTCTGCAAATTGCAATGACCGAGGCACCGTTTCTCTTTTTCCTAATAGTTTATGCATTGTCAGCCAAATTGATCGACTGGTTAAGCTTAGCTGGCTTTTCCTCTGTTGAAGTTCATACTTATCATACCCGTTTAAATATAAATTTGGTAGTTGCCAATTGCTCGTGTTTGTTCATAAATTCATTAACTAGGCATTTCTGTGCATTTCTTCGCTTAGTTTCCTTTTTTTTTTTTTTTCCAATGCCAAAAGGAATATGTGAACAATAAGAAAATAAACTAGAAATCCATATTGTTTTAGTTGTCACTGCTTTATGGTTATAGGATATGATCATGCTTCTAATTAAGATACTGACGCCCAATTTGACCTGCCACATGCAGTGCATGCCTAACTGCTATGCGAGGATTATGAGCATGGGTGCTGAGGAGAGCCGGATTGTTCTTATTGCCAAGACCCATGTTTCTGCTGGGGAAGAACTAACGTATGTATCATTTATATATACTTGCATAGGTCCGTGGATGACTTACTGGTTTAAAGCATGAACATTTAGAAGTAATTTAGTAATCAAACTCCTTTATGTTCACTAAAGTGAATGCATGATGCGTTGGAAGAAAGAATAAAAAAGAACGAGATAATAGGCGTGAAGATGCGAATGTATTTCGCACGTAGTTATACTTTTGTGTCACTCTTTTATTTGAATACACGAATATTTGTAATCTAGAGGAGGCAACTGAAGTTGACTACTGCTAACTTTTCTCTGTTACATCAGGTATGATTACTTGTTTGATCCAGATGAGCGGGATGAACTGAAAGTTCCTTGCCTTTGTAAAGCTCCCAATTGTAGGAAATTTATGAACTAGGTTTCACAATTTTTTAATATATTGCAACTTAACCTGGCTAACCATAGGGAAAAAAATTGTTTAGTGTCGCATATTTTTTTATTTTTTTCTCCAACTTCGTATATTTGTATATCATTTGGTTACGAATAAAAGAAACACCCCCAGCCAAGAGCTGGTGGCAATTTTGTATATTGCATCATAGTTCTTGACGTGGTTATGTTTATGCTCTGCCATTTTTTCCGACTTCTGATTATTTTAGATATTTCATGCATATTTAAATCTAAATATGTGCAAGGGAAACTGTTTAATGCTACCCAATTTCCAAAACAGTGATCTGTGGGGAATCAGGAATGGGGATATTTGAACGGCATTTTTATTATTCTATCGTATGGCTTCCTGAGAAACTTGGGGGTATTAACATTTCTTGTTTAGACTAATCCATGAAAAGCATTTTCTTTATCCATAAAATTGAAGCATCATAAAGATAGAAGGCGAGGATTAACCGTGTAGTTTTGGACTAGATGGAGGTGCCTGAATCGCTTTTTTCTTTTTTCTTCTTTTCCAGAAAAAGAAATAAAATTGAATGATGCTATTCGAGAGATATATTGAATATTATTGGTTGACTCCGGTTTAAAGCAAAACTGGAAGTGAAATTTTTTTTGGCCATCAATGAAGTATTGCTGAAAACATAGAAGACTGAAGTTTTACAAAATGAAAAACTGTTTTAAAAAATAAACGATCACATCAATAAATAGTAAAAGGCTAATATATACAATTTTTTTTTATACTTTGAGCAATAAAAAAATTTTCTCTACTTTTAAAACTTGACATTGAATGTTTCTAATCCTTTTTTTTTTTTAAACCAGAAATGTCTACACTTTCTAAGTACAAGTAGCTTCTCAAACAATTATCTCATTTCCGTAATGGGACAACATTTTTATCAGTAAAATAACGAAGTCACATACAGATTAAAAGGGAAATTATTTTTTCACAAAAAAGAAATTATTTCTAGAAATGTTAAAAATTGGAGGGACCGGACAAGAAATCATGCACAAGTTATCCTTAAGACTCAACTCATAGCTTGATACTTTGCAAAGAATAACATGTATACAATAATTATTAAAAAAATTAAAGAGAATTACAACTAAATCCCACACAAAAAAATTAATTACTATAAGATACATTAACAATTAAATTAAATTACATTGACAATTTCTTTGTATGAAATTTCAATATAATTCTCCCAAAAATTCATCTCATTTGTTTTAACATAAATTTCAACTCAAAAGCTGGGATTTAACCCCCTATTTGGTGGAAGAAAGAAAAAAAATTTAAAAATCAGCTTGATTGAAAAAACATAAATGATATTTTTAAACTTTAAAATTTTAATAAAAAGGAAGGAAATAAGAATTAGAAATATCAAGTAAGAACTTTTAGCCCTTCGTTTTACTTGCACATATTGTATTGTTTTAATGCCCACGCAACACTAAAAACCTTGATTTCAAACACGTAGAAAACTAACAGACCGCATTCGTTCATTGATGTCATAATAATTTCCAATCATCAAAACGAAATGAACCTAAAAATTCAGAAATAAATCATCATTTTCAATTTTTTTCATGCCGGATTCCATTAGGTAAAAAAGAGCAAAGCTCTAGATTTTACAGCAAGAACATAAAACAAGAAAAACGTCACAAGACTAGGTTTGCCCTATTTTTGACTGTTAACACATTAAAACCTCGGGAGAAAGAAAAGACATTAGCCAGTTGATTGACCAAAACTGTACAGAGACGAGCTCGTATCATGGAAAGAAGCATCTTCCATAACTTTGTCATTTCTTGGCAAGCAACTTTTTGGGAAGTTTATCCAGTGGAGTCGACTTTAGAAGGAAAAGCCTAGCAGCACGCTCCTGCAATGTGCCTCCACATTTTAACCCGCGTGCCTGCAGCTCCGACTTCAACCTTTCCAGGCCAAGAATCTGTCAAGACCACAGCACCAAAAGTTATGATTAGAGTCTACTGTTAGAGCAGATTGTATTGGCAGATTTGAAGGAAAAGTTCACATGAACAGCAAACTACAAACAAGTTCTGATCATGGCATAGGCATGCAAATTATATGATACCCTCTTCACAATGAATATAAAATCAACAAACAAACATGTACCACAAGTTTTTGTTTCTTGCTAAAAGCAATAATCAAATATCATAGAGCACAAGGGCAGATTTCAAACAATTATAACTTTCTCCAGTCAAACAGAAAGAAGAAAGCATCATTCTACTAATACTTCGACCCCTGCATAATGCACACTACTTGGGTAAAAACTGTAAAAGATATGATAAAAGTCTATTAAAACTTAATCCACTGAAGTTTAACCTCAGCATAACCACATCTACATGCACTTCTAATCCTAGACCCCAGTCATAGCAAGTTTACTGAGACAGTTTATTTTCACAGGACATTTTGCCAACATCACGGCCTTCAGCAATAAGGTTTTAAAAAAGCTTGGAAGCGAAAAATAAAATGTTAGCCTTACAAGAATCTCTGTTTACTCATTGATGGAACTGCATTCACCACAAAGAATCATGGTCCCATTAACCTCATCTCATTAAAAAAGACAAGTGATATACAACAAATCTCACCAACAATGTTCTTTATATGGTTTAGAATATGATATTATCAATTGAAGACTGGCTTCTCTATGGTTACTCACGCAATTGCAGCATTGAAAACATATAAGTAGCATACAAAAACTGATCATACACCAGTGTCAATATAATTCTAAAAGATCCATAAGTGAAAACATATAAATAGGTACTTAACGACAAATACATACATATACATACACATATATACATATATAACCAAAAAGAAAGAACCTTCGCTCGTTACTTTTTAAAATACACATGCGTTGCTAAACTTAACATCTTAAAAAGTTCAAATAAAATTGATCCATTGAAGTGGCATCTATGGTAGCACAGAATAGAAATATTATAATTTTAAAAAAACATACCTCGAGTTCTGCAGCTGAATTAAATGCATCAAAATTCAAAGGCTCCTCTATTTCCTGAGCACTGGCATTTGTGTGAGTTTCTTCATGAGATGAAGCTTTATGCTCACGCAATCCATTGGTTTCAATATCGTTTGACTTGTTCGCATCCACCACATGCTGTGAGCCTATAAGATTTGTGGCTTGAGTGACTGCTGAATCAAGCCTGCCAGCTTCACTGGAGTCCTGCTTCCCATCTTCTTCAGCATCAATTCCCAAAGCTGCAGAGTCCAAAACAGGCATAATGACACCATTTGCCATCTTATCACAAATCACAGGTTCAACCAGTTTGCCCGTTATGTTCTGGAGAGATTCACTGTTAAGATATTTGCTAGGGTCTATTTTTCCTTCTAGAACAGCCTCTTTCTCTTCTTCAGAGCAACTTCCACTCGAGCCAGCCACAGAATATTCACCATCCTGTTGCCCACCAGTTACTGAACCTGAACTGCCTTCAGCCTTATTTGAGTCTGAGTCATTCCCATTATTCAATACAGTTGATTTATCATTTTCTCCATCATCGCTCACACCCTCATCAGAATCATCACTATCACTTTCATTTAATGTCCTCTTTCCCATCCTAGCAAGCACAAATATCTACATTAATAAACAAAATTGTTGTGTTTTGGTGTGTGCGTATCTGTATCTGTGTCTGTCTGTGAGTATGCAGATGAAGGAAGAGTAAACACTCAACAAAAGAGGTTCCCTAACCACCTAAACTCTAAAAAGGCTATCGTTGTCCCCCCCTCTGTTTTTTCCCCCAATCCACATAGAACATTTAATAATCAGAATATAATTCTCTTTCAGACTCCCTGTAATCATTTCGCAATTGTCTATAGCATGAATATCCAATTGATCCTATATTCACCATCTCAGATATCAAAATATAATCTTCTTGTATTTTTTTTTAAAGTACCTCTTAAAACGGTAAAACCACATATATAACAATTAACATGTCTAGATTTTAGCCCATAGGCATAAAGAGAGACCAGACCATCAAATGTAGAAACCAAATTAAACAACTGTACACATAAAAAAAGGTTAAAGCTTTCAAAAATAAGGCGAATTAAAGAAAATAAATAATACTTCATAAGATAACTTGAATGAACACTAGAATAAAACACTAAACTAACCATATCTTCATCTTCTTTGCATCTGCTCTGCCTTTTCCAAAATCTGAAACCTTTCTCTTGCCATTGATAGACATCAAAGCCTCCTTCACCGACTCGGCAACCTCGGCAGTGCAACGCTCAGACTCCTCCCTATATTTTGCCACATACTTGTGCGCCTCGCCATCACCCATACCCTTCTTACCCTTCTTCGCCTGCTTCTTCAAAAACTCTTCCGCAATCTTCTCCAGCTTCCTCTCCGCCTCCCCGGCCTTCCATTCCTCCAATCTCTTCTCTGCGTTTACGTGCCTCAACCTTCGGCCACTCATATCCCTGCAAGCCTCAAAGTTGTTCGTCTTTTTCTGCCCAGCCTTCGTGGCCGCACCACGCAAAAGCGATCCAAACCCTCCCTTGCCACCAGCGAGCCGCAACAGCAGATGCACGGTGGGGAACACATCCCCGCCTTCCGACGAGCAGGAGATAACAGATTCGTTACCGCTGAGGTCTTGGACGCCAGTAACAAGGCGCTGATGCTGTGTGGGGATTCTGGTAACCTCGAAAATGCGATCCTTTATGGAATTGGCGTAAAGAATAGGAGATGGGAATTTTAGGGTTAGGGTTTTTCCGTCCAAGAGCTTCACGAAGAGATTGTAGGCCTTAGTGGTGGTGGTATAGTCCTCCATCGATGAAACTCCAGGAAGAATAATGGGGGATCAAAGTATGGGTGAGATCGGGGAACAAAGAACCGGGATCGCTGACAGAGAACGATTTCCAGCAAGAATGCGCGGTCTATAGGTAGATACAGATGAGGTCATGAGGATGCCTCCTTTTTATTTCTTTCTTTTTTAATTATATTTTTATTTTTCTCTTCTTTTTTTTTTTTAAATACAACGATATTATATTCATTATATTGAGTTGATTTTAGGTCGTATCTTTTTCTCGTGAAATTTTTTTGATACTCTTTTGACCATAGGTAATAAAAAAGATAATTCCAGATACTTTAAAAATAATTCTAAATACTTTAAAATTTCACTACAATTCAATGGTATTACAGTAAAATTAAATTGCTAATAGAAATTACTTCATTGTACCTCATTCTCCCTCACTCACATTCCCAACAAACAACAAACAGTAAGGCGATGAACGATGTAATGTAGAATAATGAATAATAAGTAGTAGAAAAATAAATAATTTGTGTTACCATAATGACAACACTTGAAATAAAACTAACTGAAAGTAATAGATAAATAATAGACAATAAAGTAATGAATAATGTAATGTGGGGTAATGAACAACATAAAGTAAGAAAACAAATGACTTGTGTTAGCATAATAACAATATTTGGAATGAAACTAATTGAAAGTAATGGACAAATAATAAACAATAATGAATAACAATATATAGGAAAACAAACAGCTAATATTACAACTAGTGGAGGAGCCAAGATCTTGGTTTAAGGGGACTATGGTGGAGTTAAGATTCTCGACAATGAAACTTTTTTTTATCTTTTCCATATGCACTATTAATATTTCTTTTTTATTATTCTTTGTTTTTAACTTCAACCTTGCAAGTACAATGAGTTAACAGAAAAAAAAATATTCAACAAATTTACTTTTCAACTTTAAATCTTCATTTTTATTTTTTCTTTTTTTAACCACTCTCTGACTAGCATTTGGGATGAGGATGATGTGGTTCTAACTTAGTCAAATTAATTTTCTTATATTTTTAAAAAAATATTAATAAATAATATTAGTATTTAAATATAATAAAATTTTAAATTAATATTAACTAGGCTTTGACTTAAAAAATTAAATTTTAGATCTAGACTATAAAAAATAAGATTAAAATAGGTTTAAAGTTTAAAATATTAAAATAAAGGAGTGTAAAATATAAAAAAAAAGGGTACAAATTACAAAATATCAAAACTCATACCCCATGCATGTTATTTTTTCCTAGTTGGGGGACACAAGTAACTTTGCCCATGATGACCACACTTAGAATGAAATCAATTGAAAGTAATAACGATAGACAATAATAAACAACAATATATAAAAAAACGAACAATTAATATTAGCACGATGACAACACTTGAAATGAAACTAATTGAAAAAAAAATAGATAACAATAGACAATAGGGCAATGAAAAACTTAACATAAGAAAATGAACAACGATATGTAAGAAAATAAAGTTTTTAATTATTATCATTCAAGTTTAAGATATACTATAAAAAAGATTTTTGGAGTATAGAAGAATAAGTTTGTAATTATAAGAAAAATATCTAAATTTAGATATAAAACACAAGTTAAAATTGTTTTTGCAACAATGATAATATATAACTTTATTAGAAGAAATTAAATTACCGATGAGAAATTTATACGAGGTGAAGATGAAAGTGTATGTGTCTATGAGCAAGATACTAATATTAAATTTACCTAGATCATCAAAGCAAATGCAGCGTGTTCGCGACATAATTAGGTATCAACTTGTAAATTACATCAATTAAATATGAATTTATTTTTTCTTTTCACAATAGAATATTTAAATTTTTTTACTTATTAATTGTAATTTTAAATTTAATATTTTTTTACTTATTAATTCGTCAAAAAATATACTCCCTTTGTTAAAAAATATATAACATTTTTAATTAAATTTCACTCCCAATGAAGTAGTTACTTGTCTTGAAACTAACATTATTTTTTTTATATTTACTCCTATTGAATAAAATATTTCACTCTAAAATAAATATAAAGTGATTTATTTATTAGGAATATTTTTGAAAAAAGATAATGATTATATTTTCAAATACTAAAAATTTCTTATATTCTTTAACATCAAACCCCTAAAAAATGTTTCATATTTTTAAATGAAAGAGGTATACAAAAAAATTCATGTTTTTTTGTTATTAAATATCTTAACTGGCTTTTGAATCAAATCATGTAAGTGAATTTCAATTTACCTAGTTGACTTCTAGAAAAAAAAATTCAAACATAAATTACATTACATTCACTTACTTTTTTTTAACTTTAATTTGTCAACCTTAATTGTAAATTTTTAATACAAACACTAAGAGAAAATGGAGAGGACATACCATAACATGATTGTTCCTTGGGGTATACTGTTTTATATGGAATTAAAGCCAACTGAATTTTAGTTGGGTATAATTAATTATGAAAATAATTGATTAAATATTTAATTTTAATCATAATTAATTAACGCAATCTGTTTGGATACTATTTTTCTAAAATTAATTTTAATAAAATTAAAGATGTTTGAATAATTTAGGCAGAATTAATTTTAACTATATAAATTACTATAAAGGACATTATTTTTAAAAATTAAATCATTGATATATTTTTATCTAATATTGTTAAATTTGTTAAGTTTTATTAAGAAGTAAAATATATTATTTAAATTACATATATGGTTAATTATAAAAATTTAACTTATATTAATATTAATAATTTAATTTATGTAAATAAACAACTTAGTATATCTTAGTTCAAATAAATTTAATAAAAGAGGAAGATTTAATTCTTAAATACCAAACATCAATTTTATAATAACTAATAGAGATGATAATATACAAATTAATTTTCAATGATATCATGGTTATGAGCCATATTTGACGAAGATGTTAAGTACTTTCTTAAAATTTTAGCAACATAAAAAAATCAAGCAATGTAAAAAATGACACAAAACCTTTCTTTCTCTTTCTAGGCCTTTACAACAATCTTTGTAACATTCTAAATTTTAAATTAAATTAAATTAATTTTTTTGTCTATTAATATTTTATTTAAATCAATTTTATTGCAAGTACTGAGTAGAGGGTGTTGGAATATTTATTTAATTATGGATTAACATTAATTAATAAGCTTAAACAGATTGGTCTTTATGATCTTGTGTGGACTGTAATAGAAGGATCACACAAGTGAGCCCAATGGGCAGAGATCCAACCCACAACCCAGTAGCCGTCAGTTATTCCCTATCTCTTAACTGACTGAGTCAGAAATAATAAGATATATAATTATTATTATTTAATAAGGCGGTTACCGATCTAATCTATATTAGACGATTAGTCGATAACTGCAAACACACGACTCATTCTTCTACTTCCATTATCTCTGAACTCTCTGAAGGCTCTGAGGACTTGTGGGTTGTGTACCTGCCTACACTCGAGGTAATCGAGCTTTCTCAAGTGCTCATAGATTCTTCAGGTACGCATACATTACTTTACTTGTTTATATGAATTGAGATATACAGAATCAACACGTGGTATCAGAGCCTGGTTATAGATATTAATCTATATATCTCAATTCAATATGCTTAAAGAGATGATGATAAACTCGATAGAAATTCTTTGATTTATTTATCATATTCATGTATGTTTAGTTCTCATTTATTATTCTTATTGAATATAATAATATGGTCTCTTTCCTTTCTTTTATGGCTTCATCTTCTTGAGATTAAAAAAAATCGATGTGCCATCACCGGAGAAGAGCTCCAAGGACGTTGGACATGACTGCCGGACAGCTGCTTCTGGTGTATCGTCTCTCCGTGGTTGCAGCATCATTCTCCCCTGCTCACGGTGCCGTCTCTTCTAGCTCGCGGTTCACGGCGTCTTCCTCCTTCACTAGATATAGGATTGCAGCGTCGTCTCCGCTTCTAGCTTCTGTCACTGACGTCGTCTCTGCCTCTGGCTTTGATCATCGGTGGCGGCTTCCTCCCCTCTTCATCGTTTCTCCTACGCGGCAGGAGAAGACCCAGAAACGGGTCAAAAATAGGGATTCAGTTCCATGGGTTTTGGGCCTATTTTCATATGGGCCCAGATCTTGTTTTAAAAAAAAAGGAGGCGGAGGCATGAACCGAGTCAGAAATCGATCCTAGGGATCCGGTTTCATAGAGTTCTGGGCCCAAATGAAATTTGGGCCCAGACCTGATAAAAAAAAATTCTGTTGATTGCGTTTCGGCCCCAGTTTTAATTAACTCCTTTGGCCCAAAATTTATTGAATTTTGAATTAGCCCCATGATATTTTTAGAAATTACAGTATAGTCCCTTAACTTTCAGAATTGCAATTTTAACCCAAATCTCTTTCAGAATTACTTATTTACCCCTGATACCTTTTAAAATTTTACTTAAGTCCTAGATTCATTTTCTAATTCCCAAAAGACCCTAAGGACCTTTTAAAATTATGTTGTTTTATCCTAAGGTCATAAAATTTGTGACTTTGTGAATTATTAATGATGCTTAGGATCTTGTAGCATGGATAATGGACATACCCCATAGGTGTGACATTATTAATGTGATTTTGATGGTTGGCTTTGAGAATAAGCTAATAGCACTCCTTTAATGTGTTATATATTTGTTGTACCCTATAGGTATGGAAATGTTTAATATATTAGTTTGTATGGACTTTTGTATGAGCTAAATTTTTTATAGTATATGAGCCTTCTTGGTACATGATTATAGTTGCATAATTGATAATCGCTTGTTGGGGAATTCTATTTTATAATTATGTTGTGCACGCATAATTAATATTTCCCATTTTCTGTTTTGCGATTTCAGTTTCCGCTTTTACGTAACTATCCTTTGTGAAGGCTCTCAATGGGACTAATTATGATGACTGAAAAGAGTCCTTGACTATGTATCTGACCATTTCTGAGAAAGATTTAGCTCTGAGAGAACCCAAGCCTGTGGATCTCTCTTCTGAGTCCAGTGCTTCTGAAATAGCCTTCCATAAATAATGGAGTAAGTCCAACCAGATCTGTCTAGCGATCATCAAGTATACAATTGAAAAGGAAATTAAGGAC